CCCCTGCTCATTCTACTATGCTCTAAGTTGATCTAGTCCTCACTGTAACTCCTCTATTTGAGGAAGCAAACCCTCTGGGGATCACTTTTTGCAATGTAGGTATGCTCCCTACGATTATGGTTGAGGAAAGACCGTAGGTCAGTACCTTCTTTACCTTGGCCAAAGCCTTCAACATGCCTTGACACTTGCTAGCCGGAGCCTTGTGAAGGCACTGAATGGTTTGGAGAGTTTTCCTTACCTCTGCGGTGGTCAATTCTAACCAGCTAATGGTGGGTACTTCCCTCGCGGTGATGGTCAGGACCATCACGTCGACGATAGTGAGAATCTCCCTGCCAAGCACTCTTGTGAGGGTGCCCTTGCGATGTGGTGTGGGTCTGCTCTTGATGCGACATACTGCCAAGTCACTAATGCACATGTTTTTTCCTTGGCTCGCTACTAGTATTTGCTTGTCCCTTCGAGCCTTTCTGCCCATGCTCGACCACTTGCTTTCTCTTATCTTTGCACGTTGTAGTGTGCATGGTATGAGCTTTTGCTCATTTCCATGCTTTAGCGCGACCTACATGCCTTTTTGGAGATGGTACCACCTTGTCAGAATTTGGTGGCACGACCTGGTCCAAATGATCCAACCTTTGGTTCATCGTTTGAAGGGTGTTGCTGAACTTCTTCAAGTAGCTGATCAAAGTAGGATTTTCCTGGGAGGTCGAAGGAATATCCCACAAGGTACTTTGGGGAGGTAGAGCTACTTGGGGAGTAGTAGTCTTCTTACCGTGGGAAATCTCCTCATTGTTGGTGCTAGTATGCTCAATTTCAAGACCACGAGCCATGAGTTTTACGGTTGACCTTTGTAGGTGAAACTGACTGATCAGTTGAGAAAACCGGATAAAGAGCTTATGTGAAATTTAGCCCTCCTTCTAGCACTAAACTATTGATGCGTGATTTTGACACCAATAACGTCGCACGTGCAAAATGCGAAGAGAGTCTTAGAAATTACATATAAAATGATTATGAGATTTGGTTAAAGGTCACTAGTTTTACAGTAGCATGCAAATACTTAATAATAAATGAGACAATGAGAGTTTTTATAATGGTTCAGATGCTTAAAGTGATTCATACATCTATTGTTATCTTTTATATGAGTGTTCTTAGGGCACCTCCAACCCATGCTATTTTGGTGTAAAAAACACCAAAATAGCGTGGAAGAAGTGCTCCAATGCAGCACCATATTGTACACCAATTTGGTGCGAATGAACAGTGCCATGCCAAATGGCATTGTTCATACAGTGAAAAAAAAAATTGTTATTTAAATTTTGTTATTTGTATTTAAGTTAATTTGATTATTATTTATAATAATAAATTCATAATAATGATATAATTCAAAAAATGATAAAAAATTAAAAACAAAACTTTATTCAATGCAAATATTAAACTATAATAACTTAAAATAAAAATTAATACTAATTTAAAAACACTAAAATTAAAAGAAAATACAACATAAACTAAAATAACAATTTAGTATTCCGGTATATTAGTTTTGGATCTTCTAAGATGATCAAAATATTGGAAAGAACTAGAGTGATTTTGAGATCCTTAACCTTTTTGTTGACATAAACTAAAATAATGTTTTTTCTATATTAAATGTAATGTTTATTTGATTAAATAAATGCTTAATGTTATTAAATTAGTATAATTTTCAAAGTAATTATTAATTAATAAAAATATCATTCCCAATCTTTAATTAATATACACAAAAATAATGAGTGAAATAGATTAATTGTTGGTTATTACAATAAAAGAGAAAGAAAGAGAATATTCTAAAGAATATTCCTTTTAGTGTAATATTTGGTGCAATGGATTGGAGATGGTAGTGTTTCACACAAAAAATCACACCAATTTGGTGCAATGGGTTGGAGATGGTCTTAGTGATTAGCCAAGTTTACAAGAGATCACGAACAGAGAACAAAATTACAAGAGCTTGGTATTCAGAGAGAATATTAAGCCAGTCTCTTTTTCGTGGGTTGTCTTTGCTATTTACTTTGTTGAATTCAAAGAGCTCTCATCCCGATTTTGTGAGAAGGAGTCCTCTATTTATAGCCGCTGAGTTTAAGAAAATGATTACAAGTCTACAAGTGGATAGGTGTCGTTCAAGTCCTTCCTTGTATCTCATTGTTTGATAACTTAGGAGATATCCTTAAATTATATGGGGTTTGGACAGGTGTGAGGACCATATTCATTCATAGACAAAACTTGAATCTACTGGGTTGGTGATAGCTATATTCTCTCTGTTTTGGGGCGATGTGGCAAATTTTGGGCGAGACAAAGCCTTCCTAAACTCTTATTGGTGCTCGCTAATGTAAGCTTACATCAGCCCTAATTTTTTAGGCATAACAAGTAACTTCCTTGTTAGGAAAGAAGCCTTTAAGAAGAAATGATAGTTCCAATAAATTAGCTAGTGGAGTGTTCTCCTGACAAACTGATGGTGGCAGATAATAAATTCAACTGGTTAGTACTGTCTTCCAGTTTTTATAGCTTCTATTACAATATTCAATGTAAATTTAATAGACCATAGGGGATGTTTAGATCGGGGGTATATAAGATAATGGGGGTAATCTTCATTTATTTTGCAAGATTTTGGTGTTTGACTTGCAAGTAATAAAATATTACTGTAATTTTTTATTGCAAATAGTGTTTACTGTTGGTAATGTGGGGGGTAATCTTATTACCTTGTTAGGGGGTGTTATTAAAACATTACCGAGATAATATGATTTTTCTACCCATTTTGCCCTTAATTAAAAACCATTTCGGACACAGTTGCCCTCAATTGTCTACCAAATAACAATTAGCCCAAGCCTTCTACATTTGAGAAATTAGCTAAAACATTACAGCCACAAAAAAATTTGAAAGTTAACAAAATACTTGTAGCTATCCAAGACCACCGCTGGCCGTGACTTACCACCACCAGCCATTGACGTCAGTCGCCGTAATGGTGCACGACAAGCGGAGTTTGGCCGATCATGCGCCAGTAAGGCCTTTTTCAACCATGGATCACAGATCCACGGCCGAAAAGGGCCAAATTTGGTGTTTCTATGGCAGTGAAATGACCATAGATCTGGCCGTTTTTCGGCTATGGATTTGTGATCCATGACCATTTCCAGCTTTTTCGGCACACGGTCGACCATATATGGCCAATTGTGTGCCATTTCGTCAATTGCCGGTGGTGACCAATGGTGGTGGCTAGCTGTCGACAATGGCTTGGGGTTGGTGGGGATGACTTTACTATAAATTAAAGTTTTATATGGCTGTGGTGTTTTAGCAAAATTTCAAATATAGGGGGTTAAAAGAGATTATTCAAAAAATAATAATAAAAAATATGATTATATTAATATTTAAAAATGAGATAAATTTAGTAATCTATATAACATACTCACCCATTTATCCTCCTAGCTAAATATATTATTTACCAATTTATTCAAATCAACCAAACACATTTTTTAAACATTCCCAATAATCTTCAATCTGATCTTTCTTTCCGTTAATATAATATACCTTTATAATAAAATATTATATGATCCAAACGCTCTCATATAGTAATTTTAGCTTGTGTATATAGATGTTCTTATTGATTGAAATTTTGGAATGCATCTTCAGTAAGTCAACCGATTAAGAAGGAGCCTTCTAGTGGAATTGGGACTTATAAATTTTTTCTTCAAATGGCCAAAAGCTACACTCTCACTGAAAGAAAGGTTGCAATTCCCGTTAACTAACCGTGAAAAAGCTTTCCTCTCGTAAGATTATTTTGGTACTCTTGTTCTCTTTACCTTCTGATTCTTAAGCACTTCATCAACATTGGATCAAAGTCCAACGTCACTGCCAGGAAAATCAGTTAATTATAAGTATGCTTTGATTGACATCAATCTCAACATTTAATGACGACCTTGACGTGATAAATCGTTCTTTGTCCTTTTTTAATTTAACTTAGCAACACGATTTGTCTTGTTGACTGGACTAACTAAACTGGTCAAATACGTCGATCAACAATCGCCATCTGGACTCAAGCCAAAGTTCAACCCAAACTCACGATTGGGCTCCTAATAATGAATTAATGGTGCAAATAAAGCTTGTGCTCCTACGATGGTGAGAGTAAAATTGTTGGCTACAAAATATTACAGAATCAGAATGTCTAGTAACCAAATTCTTAAACCGTAGAATTGAAACGATTCAAAGTAATACGAAATCAAAATAAGTAATCACACATAAATAAAGAGAAATAATAATATGTATAATTTATCCTTGTTGTTACGTCAGCATTGTCAACATTATTGAAATACTACCTTACCTCTTTTGTTATAATAAATATAATTTTTTTTATGATTTATTATCATACGTATACAAGAGAAAAATCAAATATTATAAGAATTTATTTTCTTAAGTTCAAACCCAATTAAGAACTAATTATTTAAAAAATTCCTTGAAAGGGGGCAACTCTAACAGAATTGATGAGATTTTTCTTATAGTTAACCTTATTCAAACTAATACAACAAAAGATTAGCATCCGATGTCCTAATTACCAGCAACTCAACTCTCCTCCATACTGCAATTGTAATTCCTACCAGTCCTGCCCCGAATGTATTCTTGGGTCCGATCCTACCCACCAAAGTCCAAATGCAAGTGGACGGTCAATTCTTTTTGGATATTTTCTCCAAAATTCATGGGCCACTCATATTATGTGGTTTGGCCTCGTGAATACGATAACTTGCTATCAAGGGCACCATAAAGGAGCCACCAGCCAAAAACCTTTGTCTTATTTGTCTTGCCCATAGCTTTTACATGTGATTAAAATTTGCATCCATCCCCGCACTACTCCTAAATTAAGATCAAATTCTGCGATCAGGATTTTATTATATTAACGCTAGTTCAATCATAAATCTGATCTGATAGAAGTTAACAAAATTTTATAATTTTTTTTTTATTTTTAATCTCCCAGAATTTCTAATGTACACAATTTTGAAGTTGAATTTTCAACTCTCCTGTCTTATAAGTTGACTTGAGTCTTGAGTCTTGAGTCTTGAGTCTTCTTCATCTAAATAAAATATCATATATCTACAATTCTCAGAGATTGGCTCTGCTCTTAATGAATTAATGGAAACACTAGAAAGCATGAAAATCCACTATTCTTTATTTTCTCTTGTTTTTCTTTTCCAGTTCTTGTCACTTGGATTTACCTCTTCAGCTTATACTCTCCCAGATAAGTTCTTCATCAACTGCGGTTCACAGAACAACATAAAAACCGACGGACGTCGTGAATTCACTGGGGACTTGAATTCTGGTTCCTTCTCCTTTTCAAAGCAGAGCAAGACTGTTAAAGACAGCAATCAGGCAGTTGAAATTTACCAAACAGCCAGAGTTTTCAGTCAACCATCTTTCTATGAATTCGAGATCAACAGTAACGGCACTTATCTGGTACGCCTTCATTTTTTCGCTTTCTCCTCTTCAATCAATCTCTCCACAGCTGTTTTCGATGTTTTGACTTCGACTTCTAAGTTTTTGCTGTTGGAGAATTTTACTGTCCAGAACCCTAGCCACTCTCCTATAGTAAAAGAATTCATTCTTAGCATCGCTATAGGCAAATTCAAGATTTACTTTACTCCTTAAGTTTCGTCTTTCGCATTTGTTAATGCTATAGAAGTCTTCCCTGGCCCTGAAAATTTCATTTCTGATAAAGCTGGATATATTAGAACTTCAGGAAATGTGAGTAATTACACGGGTTTACTCTCAAAGCTTGTATATCCAATTTATAGAATCAATGTTGGAGGCCCTACACTTACGCAAGATAATGACACTCTATGGAGAAACTGGAAGCCGGATGATAGTTATTTGCTTAATCCAGACGCTGTGACGAACCAGACTTACTCAGTTAAGCCTAACTATCTGGGAAAAGTTAGTGAATATATTGCCCCGGATTTTGTCTACCAAACGGCCAGAGAGTTGAGTAATAGCTCTTCAAGTGACTCCAACTCCAACTCCAACATAAATTGGTCTTTTAGTGTAAGTAAGAATGCTATGCATTTCGTTCGGCTTCATTTCTGTGACATTGTCAGTCCATCACCAAATGTTACAATCTTCAATCTCTATGTTGATGGCAACCTCATTAAGAGAATTGCACCTTATTCAATAGTTAACGAGTTGGCAGCTCCTTTTTACTTGGATTATGTGGTGGATTCTGATTATTCTGGAACTATGAATATCAGTGTAGGGCTTAACAACGATACTGATTGGCCAACTGCCTTTCTGAATGGACTGGAGATAATGGAGTTAATTGCGAAATCGGGTTCGCTTCCGAAGATTAATGAGCCCAAGAAAGATCTTGTATTGGTCGTGGTCGGTTCTGTTCTTGGAGGTTTAGCTCTTATAAGCATTTTGGCAGTTGGGATATTCTGGGGTTTGAAATGCAGGAAGTCAAAACCTGCTGAACCGTTGGAGTGGTTTCCGCTACATATTTATGGAGCTGGAAATTCTCATGGTAAGGTGACTGAGGGAACCATCAATGGCTCTCCCATACCTTATTTAAACCTTGAGTTAAAAATTCCTTTTGCTGAAATTCAGTATGCCACAAACAATTTCAACAGCAGGTTACTGATTGGTAAGGGCGGATTTGGGTATGTCTATAAAGGAACTTTTAGGAGTGGCCTCAAAGTTGCCGTAAAACGAAGTGAACCAGGATCAGGCCAAGGTCTTTCAGAATTTCAAACAGAAATAATGGTCTTATCCAAAATTCGACATCGGCATCTTGTTTCCTTGATTGGGTATTGTGATGAAAGGAATGAGATGATACTAGTTTATGAATTCATGGAAAAAGGGACTTTGAGGGATCATCTATACAACTCAAAGTTGCCTAGTCTGTCTTGGAAGCAAAGGCTTGAAATATGCATTGGTGCAGCAAGAGGACTTCATTATCTCCACAAAGGTTCAGCAAGGGGAATCATTCACCGTGATGTTAAGTCCACAAACATATTGCTGGATGAAAACCATATTGCTAAAGTTGCCGACTTTGGCCTTTCAAGGTTGGGTCCTTCTGATCAAACCCATGTTAGCACAGCAGTTAAAGGCACTTTTGGTTATCTAGATCCTGAGTACTTCAGATCCCAACAAATAACAGAAAAATCTGATGTTTACTCATTTGGCGTTGTTCTTCTTGAGGTACTATGTGCCCGACCGGCTATCAATCCCTCACTACCAAGAGACCAAGTCAACCTAGCTGACTGGGGAATGCATTGCAAGAACAAAGGAGTAATTGAAGAGATTGTGGATCCTTCTTTAAAGGGCAAGATCACTCCTAATTCATTGAGAAAATTTATCGAGACAGTAGAGAAATGTTTGGAAGACGATGGTGTTGACAGGCCAACTATGGGTGATGTGTTGTGGGACTTGGAGTATGCATTGCAGTTTGAACAAAGTTCAACAAGGAGGGAACCGCATGAGGACACAACAACCAATAGTTCATCTGTGTTAATATTGCCTGATGTCAAGCGTTTCCCTTCATTTAGCCAGTCCATTAATGATATGCCCAATTTGACACCGAATAGCTTTATCTCATCAGAGAATGATGTTTTCTCCCAATTGAGAATTGAGAATTGAGAATGCCAGGTAAAGCAGTTTAATTTCTTAGCCTCTGTAGTTATTTCTGTAAACAGAACTGGAAAAACTTGCCACTGCTTTCTATTACTTATAATGTATTCTTGTTGATGTATTGCAATAACATAAATGTATGATGGTATAAAAGTAGTATGTTGTATGGATTAGTCTTGCTTGGTATAGTATTAATCCCTTTCTAATCAGACTTACAGGCTCTAAGGCATTGACTAGTTCCTATTCTATTTAAGAACTATTGTATATACTTTATTAATATCATCTTCTTTTATTTCAAAATTTTATATAAATTTCCTCGGAGAAATCATTTCTTCTCCAACAATTGTTTTACCAGGAGGACTTGTGGCTAACATCTGAATCTGTTGTGATCAAGTGGAAACCAGTAATTTTGTTCTGTTTTCTTGGTTGAAGCACATTTCTGTATGAAAAAAATCAATTATTGAGATGGAGCTCAAATGGCGTGGGACATAAAAAGGCCTACAGTCCCGTGACGATTCTATAATTTCATTGGCTAATAAACAGTGTTACTTTACTAGACACAGTAAAAATATCAAATATCAAGTATCAATATACAACCTCCTCATTCTATACCTCACTATTATTTTTCAAAATAAAATCAGACTCCCATCCTTCAATCTTCAACTTTCGCACATAAAACCAGGTGCATAACTAGGTATCCTGATCACTTGTTTCTTGAAGTACAATGCTATAGATCTAAATTCAGCCTACTCCGTCTGCCATGAAGAACACCTCAGGAAACAAAATTTTCCCGAATTATAAGAGAAATAATCAATACTGCTAATTATAAATTATTTCTCAAAATTAAAAGTAGAAGAGATATGTAAAGGCTCTTACATTAACTTAATTTTTCTGATAAATTCGCATGGAATTGTAAATTGGTTTTAGCTAATTAACGACATATTCTGAATAATAGACAATGATCAATGAATTTTCTCTGCCCATAAACTTGGCCTAACATAATTTACAGCCGCTGGATACGTAACATAACATAACTACATTTACAACCATAACATAAAATTCAACAAATAGAAACAAACGATCCTGTGAGAGATGACTAGTGGCCAGAGCCTTTCCTGCTAGGTCCAGACGACAACGTATAAACCCCCCCCAGAATCCGACCACCCAAGTCCCTGGCAAAATTTGAAGATGAAGAAACTTTGGCAACAGCTTCAGGGCTACCTCTTTCAACGTTTGGTGCAGCTGGAAGAGCTCTACAAGTAACAGAAATCGACTGAGAAATCACAAGCATCATCAACATTATTACAAATAAAGAGAGTTGTTGTCTCATCGTTGATGTTGTAGTATTGTGTCTTTCCTCAGGTTAACTAATTTCAATAAACGTTTTTTCAAAGATTCTCTACCGCAAAGAGTGGACGAGAAAAAAAAATGGTTTAAGCTTTTAGCATCTCCAATGCATAAGGTACCGAGCCTTTATATAAGGGGCGGTTTTGGTGGAAAGGAAGTAAAGGACGGTGAAGGGCTTTTGAGTGTGGGGACATTCAATTAGAGTATTATTTGACTGAAACTTTTGGCCTGTGATAAGATGCTGAGTTTATATTACAAGAGTTCTAGTTCACATTTGTGCTATCCAGAATTTGACTTTAGAATCTTTGAACCAATTTCGGAAACACAGGAGATCCTAGAAACTAGTTTGGTATTGAAATTGATACCAGAAAAGAAATGGGAGGTGGGTATGTCACTAGTAAATAATGCAAATTAAAGAAACTTTATTATTCTTGATACCATTTTCAATGGTAGGGGAAGAAATGATACGATATTTGTGGCAATTAATTAAAGTTAGCTTTACACTTTAAGAACCCAAACCCATTTAATAACAACCTGTTAATTTATAATTTATATATATATATATATATATATGTATAGGGTGATAACAAATCTCACAAACTTTCTTTCACAAACCCAATGTAATAGCTGATAATTGATTTCTAATGAATTTATTAGACAAGAAAGTTTGTGAGATTCTCAGAGTCGTATTGCTCGTTTATATATATCAATAAAGATAGGCTGACAAACGAATCTTACAAATTTTTTCTTACAAACTCAACGTGACAACTGATAATTGGTTTCTGATGAATTCATCAAGAAGGAAAATTCATTAAAACCAATTATTAGCTGTCATGTTAAGTTTGTGAGAGAAAGTTTGTGAGATTCATTTGTCAACGTAGTATTGTTTAATCAATATAGATAGATTGACAAACTCTTTTTACTAACTTTCTCATACAAACGGACGTGACAATTTACAATTGATCAGGCAATACTAATTATGAGCTATCACCTTCTTTTGTGAGAGAAAATGAAAAGGATTTGTGAGCATAGTATAAATTCACATAATTTATTCCCCAAATTATTGGTGAATACGTGTCTTTCCAAGCTAAAAATTCACATCATTTATTCTCCAAATTATTGGTGAATACGATGTCTTTCCAAGCTAAATCATTTTATAATTTTTCTTGTATCACTCTAATTTTATCTGCTGATTCTTTTCTGGCAAGTAATTTTACTCTGAACTACAAACTGAATTTAATTGTGGCGATCGCTCAAGTTTTGGTTCTGTAAATGATTTATTATGGGAAAAGAGCTAGAAGGGCCAGGAATGTCTGTGTCTTTAGTGGAAAGGAAATAAAAGTAAAAAGTTGAAAAAAAATAAAATAAAATCTATGTCCCGGATGAGAGTTTCAGAAGAAGTTTCTCTTCTAGCATAGGCATAGACTTGCATACCCAATGAATTAAATATGTCTCCGCACTTCTAGAACGTTATAAAGAGAAGAGGTGGAGCCCTGGGGGGACATACACACGACTTGCTAAATTCTTGATATTGCTTAACGATTTCACACAATGGAAATCATTTCCGTCTAGTTTCAATGTGAATATTTTGCAGTGTCATAACATCAAAAAGATTAACACAAGCTTCAGCGTTAGGTAAATGAGGAATCCTCATTTTTTAATCAAAGAAAATTTGTTATACGAGATCCAGGAAGGTATTGTTTCTTTCATGGTTCCAGCTATGCACATAAATTGGTAAAGTAAACAACAACCCCACTTGACCTCGGGCTAATATTTTGTCAAATGTCCAATTTGAAATTTTTTTTTTTCCTAAAAAATCACTTCTTGTGAGCTTTATTGCAATGGTGCATTTAACAAATGGCGTCCTGATAATTGCTTTCTATGGTCAATACGACATGCTTCCGGTGTCACCTCTCGACAAATAAACTTTTGAGTTACAATTTTAAGGGCAATTCGGAAAAACTTAATGAAGCTTGGGGAAATGCTAACCAAAACAAATATATAACCATCTTTTTATTATATTTGAAGTCAGAAGAGTGCTAACTGCAATCACTCTTAAATTGAATATGCATTTGTGAGTAATACTACACTAACAATCATTTTTCACAAATTTTCTCTTATAACTCTGATGTGACAATTCGTAATTGGTCAGTTTGTAACTAATTAGTGAGATTCATACGGGACCTATATGAGACCCGTTATGAATTGACCAATTGTGAGCTGCTACATTAGAGTTGTGAGAGAAAGTTTAAAAGAAAAAGTTATTGATATAGTATTATTCATGTGTTTATTTATGAGAAAATTTACAAAGTTCATGGGGAGGATTAGCATCTAGCGATTGGTGCCATTGCACCTAATTCTTCTCTTGGATTTATTTTCAAATACTTACTTTGATTGGGGGGAAATTTTCATTTGTTTACATCTATGGTTTGACCCTATTGTTTAACGGTGTAGTAGATAAAACATTTCATCTACTTTTGTTTCATTTTTACTCTTCTATAACGTTTATGTCTTCTCTCTAGCGGTAAAGTGGAGCGCTAAGAGTCATTAGAATATTTTTTTAATTATTCTCCAAATTAGTGTTAGAAAATAAATATCAAAATTTCTTTAAACTAAAAAATAAATTAACAAATTATATTTTATTAACAAAATTAAGAAATAAAATATATTGTTTTTAAAAAAGTAATAGTAAATGTATATAAGAGTTATTTTAATTAACAATAAGAAATTAAAAAAATAATTTATTTATTTTACTCTAGTGCTAGAGTTAATAACTCGAGTGACTCGAGCACTAAAGTAGCGTAGATGCAAAAAATCTACCGTTATAAAAATAGGGTCTGATCCCGTGACGTTAAGGCCATTAACAATCCACTAGACCTGCACACATGAAAAGATAAGCGTGAAACTTACGGAAAACACCGAGGTGGTATTTGCCATAGGCACTCCGATGCTCAAGTCAGCAAGGCTGAAAGAGATTATTTGATAAGAATTAAGGAGAAGAAGGGTTACCAAGAGTCTTGTCGGAGGCTAGGACTACAACGGAGGCGTCGGGTTCTTGGGAGCAAGAACTTTAGGAGCAAATAGATGGTTTTGAGTAGTTGAGATTGATTATTGGAGATTGATTATTTTATCCTCCCTTATGAGAGGGCATAACTCTGTTTATATAGTGAACCCAAGGGTTTGGAATCTTAGTAGGACACTGAGTCCTACTTTGAGAGATAATCACTATTAGGAAAAAGATAGAATTTCTTGTCTTTATCAGATTAAGTTTAATGGTTTAAGCAAGATTTGAAATCTTAGTAGAAAAGGAAATAGAATGTGATTCTGATTTCTTATTTATGGACTGTTGCAGGCTAATGGGTTGAAACTCAGTTTAGTTTAACTTATAGGATAGTCCAACGCATAGAGTAGGTAGTTCACAAGGTGATTTTAAGTGTAGGCCCAATCTGGATTAGGTTGAGGCCTTAGGCCATAATATGTTTATTTTGTTATTGGGCCTTGTCAGGCTCTAAGATTATTTTTGGCCCTAACAAGTAGTTTTCCCTAAGTGCTGAGTGAAGAGAGTAAAAGTGAAAAGAAATTGGATGAAATGTCTTATGACTAAGCCAATTAAATAGAGGTCAAATTTCTTTTTGACTATTAAAAAAGGTTTTTTATGTAATTATATTATTTTTCTTAAAAGTATGTAGTATCATTTTGTCTTATTTAATTGAGATAAAAAGGAATTAAAAATTTTTCCCGTAATTTATGCTAGATTAAAATACATAAAACGAAAGAATAATGCAAAAAACAA